ATGGGGCTGACCTAGTTCAATCCATTGTACCCCACAGAGTCGTCTGAACATGATCTGGAGTGATCCCTGAACACTGATGAAGGCCTGAGAACAGCCAGTCTCCACTCACTCACCAATCCCTCAAGATAAACAAAGAAACAAAACAAAATCTTTCAGGTGCAAAAATTTTAGGAAAAACTTGGACATTGTTTTCTCAGTCTCTTTGTTTTATTAATTCATGAACAATGGGCACTGCCAAATGTGGTCCTCAAACCAAACTAACACAAAAATATAAGACCCAGATTTCAAATCCCACTAATTTTATGCTTGAAAATATGAACAGTTTTTAGGAAATGAGTTTTTGAAGTGTAAACAATAGCTATCTAATTGTAAGAATTATGAGTTTCACATGCTTGTTGAGAGCGCCATATGCATGGAGATACTTTGATCTCTTCATTTAAAGAAATGAATATAGACACTGCCTCAGTAAACATACCTGCCCTGAGTCACATATTGTCACAGAAAAGGATCATGGACCTGACGGCGGGCAATTCACTAACTGAGGGTTGTTTTTGTCTGTCTGTCTGTCTGTCTGTCTGTCTATCTATCTATCTATCTATCTATTGGAAGAAGTCACACTCAGAGGTGCTACATACTTGGGCCTATCTATCTATCTATCTATTTATCTATCTATCTATCTATCTATTGGAAGAAGTCACACTCAGAGGTGCTACATACTTGGGCCCAGAGGATGTTATGTGGGGGAGGGGCAGGGAAGGGGGGCACTATCTAGCACTATCTCAGCAGTGCTCAGAGGAGGCAAACAACATCTGAGACAGAACTCAGGTTTCATGCGAACTAGGTTTATGTTCTATCAATTTAGCTATCTCTCTAGTCCAATAGATGGCTAATTTATGTACTGAAAGTAGGTTACATATACGATGCCTTAGGTCTCTCATTTAGAAAATTCGGATAGAATAGTTCTTGTAGATTTAGCATGTAGCTCTGAGGTATTAGTTTGTTAGGCCTATTAAGTACTTCATCTCATTAAAAGTTAGTGCTCCTCTAAGTATATTTTCCCTATTTATTTATTCACTTATTTATTTTTAGTTAGGGAAATTAAGACCAAGAAGCTGAGTACCACAAACAAAATCAAATTGGTGCTAGGGGTGTAATTCAAACGTGAATCTCTCTTATTCCTAAACTCTGGTCAGTAGCACTACACTCCTTATGTTACATGCCACTCCAGAGGATTTTTATACATTCAAGAAGAATCAATTTTCCCTTTAACTTTCAAGACCCATTAACTTTTAGTATAAAGAACAATGATGCTCAATAGAAGTAAATAAATCGTAGGTAATTTTTTACATAAAAACTTCAGTAATATACATTTTTATTGATCAGACTTGGTTAAAAACTGCGAAAAATAACCTGCTTCCAATAGAAGATAAGAGCAAATATACTGGAGATCTACATGGTTAGAATTAGTCTTTCAACTCAACATATTTATAGTTAAGTTGAAGGTTTACAGATACATAAGGACATCCCTAATACGATTTCAGTAAAGGCAATTTCTTTGAAAAATGTCAACTTAATTTACAAAAGAAAAATACCCAGCTGAAACCATTTGTGTGGAAAAAAGATGAACAGCCTCTATTAATGCTAATTGAAATTCTCATATCCACATATACCATGCATAAAATTTACTTCTCCACTTATTCTTTCCACTTCTAAACTGCAGTTAGTTCATGCCAATGTACTAGCTTTTTAATTTAAGCCTTCATGCATGAAAACTGGTATTTTTCTTATGATTATATTTGCAAATTTAATATAGGTGAAATCTCACTTGGCAAAATAGACAAAGTTTTTATTATTATTGAAAAAGAGTTAAAACCTGAATCTTCTGGCTTGCTAGGAATTTCTGAAAACTGATATTTGTCATTTCTCAGTGTTTGTCACTTTAAAAACCTTCTTTAACAAGTGCTAATGCATTCAGGCAAGATGGTTTGCATTTTAATTACTAGATAATTAAAATGTGGCACAACCATTTAGGTAAAAATCAAAATCACAAATATATCTATATATACATATATACATACGCACATTACACTTTTTAATGAATGTTATAAGTATTGTTACAAGTATTATAAGTGATTTCTGAATATAGACTATGCTATTATCTTACTATTTAATTATAATCTGCAAAAACTGCCTATAAATTTGATCCAGTCCATCAAATCCAACTTGAGTGCTAGCTTATTTAAATTAGCTATTATGTTATTCTACTTTGGTTTTGGGGTTACACAAGGATATGCTCGGGAATTATTCCGGGTCTATGCTTAGGGGTCACTATTAGCGGGCTCTGGGGACCATATGTGGCACGCAGGACCAAACGCTGTTGGACTGCATGCCAGGCAACTGCGTTACCCACTGACTATTTCTCCAGCATGTAAGTTGGAGAACTTTATTTAAAAGCTATACTTTTAATAAAAATAATGTATAAAACTTTCAAAGAGGACATTCGAATTTTATTTTTGTCCTTTTTTCACTAATGAAATCTAAGAAATTGTACATGATTTATTAGCTTCGGAGAATATTATAATTTTTCTCCTTGAAACTGGATATCAATAGGCTAAGAACTAGTCCTAAACAAGAATTTTCAATGACACATTACTGATTTAAGTATAGCCCAGTGGTAGGGCGTTTGCCTTGCGCGCATCCAGCCCGGCTGGGCCGGGTTCGATTCCTCTGCCCCTCTCGCAGAGCCTGGCAAGCTACCGAGAGTATTCAATATGCCAAACACAGTAACAAGAAGTCTCACAATGGAGACGTTACTGGTCCCGCTCGAGCAAATCGATGAACAACGGGAGGACAGGTCTGAAAGAATGTTTTTTTCCACATTACTCTAGGGTACATGAGCGATAGCACAGTGGTCGGGTGTTTGCCTTGCGCGCTGCCGGCCTGGCTGAGCCGGGTTTGATTCCTCTGCCCCTCTCAAAGAGCCTGGCAAGCTACCGAGAGTATCTCGCCTGCACGGCAAAGTCTGGCAAGCTACCCGTGAGGTATTTTAATATGCCAAACACAGTAACAATAATTCTTAAAATGGAGACATTACTGGGCCCACTCGAGTAAATCCATGAACAACGGGAGGACAGTGCTACAGGGCTATGCTAGATCGGATTTTGTCACCTGGGAACCGTATGTGCCCCATCAGCCCTCAGGCTCTTTCATGGGAACCAAGGTTGAAATATCACACAAATAAAGGACTACAGCATGAGACAGGTGGAGACATTGGTAAAAGAGGGAGGAAATAGATGAGAAGATGGCCATGGCCAGGAAAATTTGTTAATCTTGGGATGACAGCTTCTTCCTTAAGTTTTGAAGTGAAGAGTGCGTTACATTAAACAATCTTACCTGAACAGTGTTAGCCCCTTTATGTAACTTGGTTTAGGTGTTTTTGCTTTGCTTTGCTTTCAGATTTTAGTAAGGCGAAGTTGTATATCCTACCACTGCATATTTAGATTTCTCATAAAAGACAAATCAACACATTATCAACATTGCTGGACATGAAAATTATTGCTATCCTTGACTGAGGCCTCTGAAGGATCAGAACAAATGCACTCTAACCTATCATTCGATTAGAATAAGAAATGGAAAGGAAATCATTCATCCATGTTTTCATTCACTCAAACAAGGGTTATGTTGAGCACTGATCTCATCAATGTCACAAATTATGCTAGTGCCTTAGAAGGCTAAAATGTTCAGATAAAAGTATAATAATAAAGTCAAAGTCTGATTGACCAAATGAAATATAGAATCTATTTAAAATTTTTATATTAATAAGTCAGCGGCAGTATAACATGGGAGCAAAAGCATAGTTAAGAACAATGCAAAAATTGTAACATAAATGTCAAAAATAATCTTTGAATTGGTATGGTTCTATTAAAGTTCAGTCACTTGCATCTGTTTTGCTTAATCATGAAAGAAAATATTATTGCTAGTAAACATTATTTACATCTAAATCTATGAAAATTCAGTTGCATTGCAGACATTTTTTTAAACAAAAAATCATTACAAAAAAGAAAAGGAAGCTCGCTCCTTCCTTCCTTCCTTCCTTCCTTCCTTCCTTCCTTCCTTCCTTCCTTCCTTCCTTCCTTCCTTCCTTCCTTCCTTCTGTCTGTGTGTCAGAACATACTCCTGGGCTCACAGGACCCTATAGTATGGCAGGGTTGTTTGCTAAGACACACCAGGAAGTGTTCAGGACTTACTCCTTGCTCTGTGCTCAGGGATCACTTTTGGTGTTTACGGTGGATAATATGTGGTTTCAGGATACTAATCTAGGTCAGCTGCATGAGGGCAAACCCCCCGTCCCCCCACCCCCACTCCACCGGTTGTACGTTTGTTTCTGCCCTTAAAAGTGATCTCATGTTTACTCTAAGCTGTGCTTTTTTATTTTTCTTATAATATTGAGATTTTTTTCCTGCATTTATCAATCATGAACCATTTTCTGTACATGTCAATTAGCTACACTCACTCATGTGTACTCTGAGCCTAAAAATAGTCCCAGTTAAGTTGTGAATTCTGAGGTTCTCTGAGAGGTGACTACGTGAGTGCAGGGAGCGGGAACTAAAGCATCATTTCCAACTAACTTTTTGACATTTTTGATGAAGAGTACTTCTGAGGACATGTCACAACCAATTAGACAGACTTGGATTCTGTTTTAGCAATGCATTGTGTACTTCACTGCACAAAGAATTAGCCAGCTGTTAATAAAATTCTCCTTCAAAGAACGACTACATCTTAGCAACTAGCTACTCGTAGAAAAAAACATTTCTTATATTTTCCTATTTATAGCTAAGAGTGATCGATAGTACTTTGTTGGTTGAAAAGTAAAAGAATAATTTTCAAGTATGCAGGTTATCAGAAGACCACAAGAAAGTCAAAATATATAATACATTGATTTAAAAAAATAGGTTAACAGAAAATGATAAATATATCCCCCAATCAGACGTTAAACTTACCTGATCTGCTATCCAGTGGTCCAAAATCCAAGGAATATTTTACGACGTGATAGTTATTCCAAACATAAAGAAGGTTGTCTCTGGGGTTGTAATCCACAGCTGCTATGTATTGGTATGAATTAGGAAAGGGTACATCCACCAAACTATCCTTACTTTGATCCGTGTTGTAAATGTAGTCAATTTTATTCCCTGTGGCCTCATTGTCATCATCCTCATATACAGATTTGACCACATACAGAATCCCGCAGATCATAAATGCGTTTGAAGCAGATCTTTTATCATAGGCAGTATCCCAGGTTCCTTCAATTCGTAGAGTGTAAGGGTTCAATTGACTAATGACAATTTTGCCATTGTTTTGTTCTGTTGCATAGATTACCCACAGCCCATTCTCATCCACTGCCAGGTCTATGTCAGATTTGCCTCCCCATCTGTAAGGGGATGTATCATGGTAATTGGCATTTGCTATGATAGCTTCTCCACTCTTTATTCTAGTCCGCAAATCGAACTTCACAATGTTCCTGGTGCGCTCTTTGTTGAAGAACAAAGCTCCATCATACACTACAAATCCCGTGCCATCCACCCTGTGAGGGAGTTTGTAGGTTGTCGTTGGCCTTCCAGCAATGAAGTCATCCTTGGAGGAGTACTCAGTCAGGGTATCGGTCCTGTATGGGGTCCATGGCATGTAATAAATCTTATCAGAAGCCTGGAGAGGGTCTTTGCACCATGCCCCTGACTGGTGATCAGACTCAAATAAATGTTCACTTTGATATACTCCTTTAAGTAGTCCAGGACAAAGAAAAACTGTTGAAAGAAAAAAAAAGTTAATATAGTAAATATAGTAATGCATGTATTTCATCAGATTTCTAATTTTTCATCAAAAAATATAGCTCTAAGATGATATACCCACCACCGATTAATCATGTTGCTATATTCTAAGATCACAAAGTAGTCTTAACAATCATCTTGACTTCTGTTCAAAATAATTTTGATTTTATTGGCTTAAAAACATGTTTTATTTTATAACTAGCTGTGCTATCCTCTGGCTTTTAAGTTTCTAAACACATGTGATAATATTTTGAACTTATTTATACATACATGACAAAAAGAAATTCAATAGTAGTTAAATGATAATAAAGGAAAAGAATAGGCCAGTACTACAGGCCACTGGATTTTCTAGTAACAAAGGTCTTAAAACTGCTACAGCACACACAGAGCATGCAAACCACACAATTAAAGATGAGTGATGGATGGATACTGGAAGGAAAAGGAGAAAAGAAGAGAGGAAAGAAGAAGAAATAAGGAAAGTAGAAAAGATGAAAGGTTACAGAGAAGAACCCAAGATCTAGATTTTAATCAGTTAAAAATGTCCTGTTAAATACAGTAATATTGGAACTTAAAAAAAAAACATGTACCTTTTACTGTTAAATGAGAAGAACATTAAAAAAAACAAGAATTATTTGCTTAATAGTTTGCTGCTCACACTTCAGATGGAAAAGGTGCAGAAAAGATGTAATTTAATTTGACTTGTATTAAGATTCAGTAGAACATATGACTGAGTGTTGGTAAGAAAGTTTGGCTGGCTCATCTCTAATGAGGGACTATGCAGCAGTGTAAAGTGGTGTTTCCCAATGAGTGGTCCTTAAGGCACCATGTTCAAGTAACATAATTTTGTACTGCAAAGAATGGGGTGGTAGGGGGGAAGGATTAGTATCTAAATGTACTCAGAAAAAAACATTTTGATGGAGATTCTAACTGTTTATGTACTTTAGTGAATCTACAATGGAGAAATATGGAGAAAGAGCAAATTTCACGAACTTAATTGATTGTGAATTCCTTTCTAAAGAGCCTTTTTGGAGTGCAGTTATTAGCCGAATCTACTATGGGAAACACTGCTCTAATATTTTTGCAGTGCAAGCACATTTTAAAATAATCATGCAATTTACTGCTGTATTTGAAATGATTTAAAGAACTGGAAAATCAGCAACTGTGGACACTGACCTATAGTTTAACAATTAAAGTACTATTCTCTTGATATTAGTGATAAGCTCTTTAAAATCACTCGCAGCCTAGCTCCCAAGAAAAACAAACTAAAAACAACTTCAGCTAGGATCTAGAATAGCTAGAAATAAAAATACAGGGGCTGGAATTATACAGCGGGTAGGGTAGGTTTCTTGCCTTGCTGAACTGGGTTCAACATTCCATATAGACTCCCGAGTACCACCAGGATAAATTCCTGAGTGCAGAGCCAGAATGTAACCCTTGAACATCACAGGATGTGGCCCCAAAAGACAAAAATATTTCCCAGATTTTACTTTTGGACAAATGAAATTTTTATGGAAAATGATGACCACTAATCTTCCATATCAAGAATAATCATTATCAGTTTAGACTCATCATCAATTTAGACTCCAGAATAATATTAATGACTGAAAAAAATTTTTTAAAGATTTGCATATTATTGTTATATTCAAAGAATGGGTAAATGTTATTGGCATCATTATATAAAAAAGCTTGTTTGTTAAGAATCAGCCTTTGATTTACATAAGGGCATTTCAGAAAAAGAAATTTCCCCTATTAAATTAAAAAAAGATAAAGATAGGGAAATCACACCAGAGCTAAAAAAAACCTAATATAGATATGAAGGCAATTTGAAGCATTAACTATTCATCACCATCCTCCTGACTTCTAACTACTTATTCAAAAATGAAAGAGGAATAAAATACATGCTTGAAATTTTTACACTATTAAGTTGTTTTAGGTTAAAAGGATCAAACCAGCACTGGTCAGTATAATGGATTAAAGTGAAGTTGAGCAGCAGAAGAAGTAAATAAATGTTCATAAAGAAGATAAGAATTAATAACAAAATTATTTTAACTAAATGTTAAACTGTTAAATAACTTAGCCTATAAATAGTATATAATTTATGAAAGGTATTTAATTACCTTTTTGTTCCACTTCTATTGGAGAGAGAGAAGGAAAGAGAGAAAGGAGAAAAGAGAATAGATTAATGGTACGGTATTGGCTAAGCACTTTTTATTCACCTCTTCCAAACTGAAAGCAAATTACTTATTTCACTCATACTTGCTTTATTGAGCATTACGTTTGTTAAAAACTCATTCCTCTTGCAAAATTATTCTCTAAAACAATAAGATTAAAAATACAGCACAAACTTATAATAATAACTCAAAATTTAATCAAGCTAAGATTGCATAAACATACCATCTAAACTATAGCTACAGCAAATAAAATATTCATAATAGGAACACTAATATTTTCACACCAAAGGCTGGGATGTAATGATTTATAGAAGGTTCTCAGATAATTTGGTGAAACATATTTAAAAATAATAGGACAGATAGAACTATGTATCATAAGAATGTTTTTACCCATCTCAAGAACTGATCCTTTCAGAAGAATGCACTCTAACTTGTTTCTTAAGGCTTAAGAGATTTTCCCATTGTTTGAGATTCTTATAAAAACTGTTCCTCAGGAAGCTATTCATTAACAGGAAATGTTCTCACCCAGAATAAATGGATTTGCACTCTTCATTGAAGACACAACTTTCCCTCCCCGTCATCAGTTTTACTTTACTATGGAAACATACCATTTACAAAAAAAAAAATGCTGAGTGTTGATATCAATAATCAAGTACCTAACTGATATATTTGTAAAAATGGGGGGCAGTGCTGAGAAACATGTTGATTTTAATTAATCTTTCAGCTGACACATGCTACTATATTAGCTATCACTGTATAACAGAATACCTCAAAACTTAAAAGAAGTTGAAAATTCTGGTACGCATTTATCTCTCATAGTTATGTTGTTTTTAAGGAATGGGAAGCAGCATAGGTTGGTGATTTCATCTTGGGGGTTATTTCTTAGGACTGGAGTTCAAAAATGTCAGTTTTGTTGGAAGGACTTGTTTTAGAATTTTCTGATTATTTTTGATCAGAATACCTTAATATAGTCATTAAGAATAAATAAGGGTATACAAACACGCTATGGTTAGCTATACCTTAATTATCTTAATTTATATTTATTATCATTATTATTATTACTACTATCATTATTATTATTTTGCCATATCCTGCAATACTTGGGGGTCTTCTTACTCAGTGTTCAGACATTCTCCAGTGTCCAAAGTGGACCATATGGTGTTCGGGATCAAATCTGTGATTCCTACGTGCAGAGCATGCACTTGAGTCCTTTGAATCATCTCTCTGACCCATCAATCCATCATTATTTTTAAACCTTTGATCATGACACATCATAAAATTTTGAGAAACTGCAATATATTCACCAAACTTATCAAGTAGAAGTTTTTATATTTTACAAGTTCGTGTCTCATTGTCTCATGAGAAATTATCTGCCTAGATGATAAGACCAATTTTTTTTTTTAATGAGGGGAGGGAGGAAGAGTAGAGGAAGAGTGGGTTTACAAGATAATCAAAAAACTTAAAGATTGAAACTGATATAAACCATATATCAACAATAATTTCAGTGGTAGGAGACTAATATATGAACAGTAAATAAGTAAAAAATACCTAACCATTTCAAAACAAAGAAAAATATTGTTTTGGACAATTAGAGTAGGGTTTTTTTGTGTGTCTTTTGTTTTGCTCAGGGCTGCGCTTATGTTTTTGTTGTCACAATAATGTATTTCTTTACAATGACTCTTTAGAAACCACACTATCACATTTGATAGAAGGAAAAGTGACATATATGAAACACTATGTTTGCAAGTTGCAAATTAGGTGTTTTTTAAAAAATGTTTTATCTCATTAACTTACAAATCTTATGCCTAAATTTTTTCCTAGAACTCTATTATATGCTGTAATTTATCATTAACCTCAATTAATCTTTATTGAGTAGCTGTTTACTAAATCATATGTCTCACTTTAGAGCAGTTAAAAGCTTCATCTAAGAGGATCGCTTCATGGAATGTCTAGAATACTAACAATCATGAGTTCAGACTGACAACTAGAAGTAGCATAATTAAGTAGCTTAAACGTTATTTAGTCAATAGTCTCCAGGGAAGGACTTGAGGTTCATTATAAGGAAGGGATATTTTGGGGATTGGGATTCTCACTGAAGGTGATATTTTCAATAACTTCCTTACAGAGGAATTTCTAAAACTGATTTTTTTCTTTAAATTAAGTGTGTTTATATATTTAAAATCTATATGGAGGCATTTACATTTTTAAAAAATGTACATTTTAGTACATTTACTTAGCAAAGCTCTTGATCTTGTGTTTAGAAGCAAGCATCATAACATCTTGGTAATTGGTATTTGTTTCTTCAACAAATGTTTTACTAGGGAGATGAATTATGTGATACGTTATAAAAAGCATTGATAAGACACTTATTACATCCAGCAAATATGACAATACCTTCCCTTTCTTAGTGTATTTTATTCTTTTTGTTTGTTTGTTTTTGGTGAGGTTTAGTGCCTCACATGTGCAAGGCAAGTGCTCTCTAATTCTGCTAGGTTCCTGGCCTAACATTTTATGCCTTACTGGATATAATGTTGTTGTTGTGATGGTGGTGGTTTATTTATGCTCTGGGGCCACACCCAGTCATCAGTGTTCAGGGATCACGTCTGGTGACACTTGCAGAAAGCACCCCCCACACTGTACTTGGACCCCTTTATTAAATACTTTAATATTTCAGAGTGTATTCATCGGAATTCTTCGACTGTCATTCGATAAACGTTTGCTTTCATTCTTTGGTCTTGGTCTAATTTCGGAGAAAACTGCGTAAACTGTAGCAAAGTAAAGCTTGTATCTGTTACTTGCTTGTTACAAAAATAAAGATTTATTATGTAGTTCTACCTTGGAGAAATTAGTATGATCTTTTCAATGTCATGACTGTCACTTATCACAAACAAATAAACACAGACAGTATTCTTATAACGAAACTGGCAAGGCGAATATTTTTAACTAAGAAAACTTAGCATTTACTAAGGCATTGTTCATCAGGCATTGTTCATCACCTGCCTCTAATTTGAGAAGCTTCCCTCCTTTTAAGCCAGAAAACAAACAAATTAATTTCATGGATAGGAGAAACATGCATCCTTCAAAAACTCACAGAGCTTGGAAATAAATTTAAAAATTAAGTAAACAAGTATAGATATAATTCATAATTCAAATAAACATGAATAATTCACATACTTATATTTTAAGCATGTAATAAAGAGAGAAGTGAGAAACTTCTGAATTTACTGAATTTACTGTACAGAACTCTATTGCCATGCATTATCAGCATGATATATTTGAATATTTTAATGGTTGGGGAGGAAAGAACAATTTATAGGCAATTTGTATTTCTAACCTATTAAATATAAGATGGAGAAAAATATGAAGAAAAAGTATATGAATGGCTTTGAAGGTTATATTTGCAAGAAAAAATTGATGCTATAAAGTAGTCTGCAATAAACTAAAAACACAAGCTAAAAATCCTCCCTTCTCTCCTCTCTGTAATGAGATCATAAATAAATAAATTGTATGATGACAACCATGCTAGGCTTTCTTCTGAACCTCTTGTCATTTCATCTGGTCCAATATCCTGAATTCTAACATTATAGCTGTCATTGTTCATTTTCAAACCTCTTTGAACTAGTTTTTCTTCTCTCTCTTCACTTTCAATCCCCAAACTATTTCTATTGCCCATTCAGCCTCTATAAATATGTTTATATATATTTCCGTAAAGTGATTTCACTGTTGTCCTCTGTCAAACTTAATGTCATAAGTTATATCCTGTGGTTAAAATGTACGACAAATTCAAATTAAAGGGAATTTTATTCTGCATGAAAGTAAAAAATAGAAAAAATGATGTGTAAATGCTCCCTTCATTCCTCAGTAGTTCATAAAATAGATATAATATGTAGTCATGTTATTGCTTAGAAAAATAAGATGCTATTAGTTCGATCCATATCTGCACCATATGCAATACTTTTGAACTGACTTTTTTAATTAGAAAAGGTATGGATGAGAGAGCATATACAGCATTGCCAAGTCTTTTCAAATTGCATTGCAAATTACAGAGGAATAAAATTGCTGCATACCAAAAATTGTTATGCCATAACTAAGAACTATGAAATTGTATCTAATTCTAATGTAGCTTTAATTTCCTTTCCTTTTAAACTGAAAACCATATAGCACATTTTCAATCTACAATTTAAATATTCCAAATGAGTAGACTGTTATAATCCAATCATACCTTGATATTTCTGCAATACAGAAATATAAAAGCACTTAAGAGGAACATAAAGTTGCTATAAAATAAATAATTTATAAACAAATATTTTTATGGAAACTAGGGCAGTATTTCAAACATATCATTTTCTTGGTTACATTTGGCTTAGATTATTAAAATACATTTGGGTACCCTTATCACAGGCCAGCTGCATAGTTAGTTGATGGCAGAAAGGCAAACTGAGTTAGTAATAAAAAATCAGACTTGAACAAAAATTTGCTGATGCATCCTCTCCTCCAAAAATTGCACGTGTCAATGGACAATCAAATGTTTGAATTAGCAGTTGATATTTCTATAGCATTTTATACTATATTATGACCAAACATTTTAAGATGAATGATTTCATTTAATTCTTCATGATAAAGTATTCATTATTACCATATCATACACGAATCAAGCAAACTCACAACTTCAAAGCATTTGCCTACGATCCACATTGGTAGGGAATAAAGACCTGTATTTTTGGCGCTCAAACATGTAATCTTAATGAAGCATTTGTGAGGTTCTTGCTTCCCATATCTTTTCTGTCCACAAACTCATCATGAAATACACTTTATTGGAACTATATTAGAGGAATAGAATATTTTATGGTTATGCGCCACATAAAAGCTAGCAGTTACTAAGCATATATGATGTGCCATGTATCGAATTAAATTTATTCTGTAATTCAAATGAACACATCTTACAGCAACCGTGTGAAGCT